AACGTCAAAACAACGGTGAGATTTCACCAGACCACAAGGCACAACATCCTACAAGACGGCCGTAGAAACAGCTACTTCTTAAAACGAATTCATGCCAGATTTAATTAATGCGCTGTTTTTTGATGGGGGTAGTACTCATTCACGATAAAACTTCGAAATCTGTTGTGGAGTGCGTGGCTGACAGGCAGGCGACCGCTTTTGGATTGTTGTGTCCACCCACGTATGTCCTCTTGACATTCTGAACGAGTTAAAACATTGATAAGTTTTGCTTAAATGCAGCTACCAAATCCAATCTGTTTAAGAAAGCTCTACAATAAAGATCATTTTTCATGTCCACGCATGCACTATAAAAATAAAGGTAAAGGTAATGTTCTCCCTGGTGCTTATTAAGCACCACGCCATGATGACGTGGGGGCGGTAAAGGTATAGCTGTAATATTTCTTAACATCGGCACTAGAATAAGGTGAGTTGATAGCTTCACGCCCCGGCATTGGATAAGACGTCATGCGAGCCCCAGAGCCGGTCTGGACGCAGAGGCTAAGATAAAAATCTTAAAAGCTATCTGTGTAGGAAATGTCCCTACCATAAACCCGTCTTCCTGTTACATATAAGCACGTAAAAGGCTTCAAATTCAAAATTAGAAATACGTGTAAACGTAATGCTTACGCTTCCATGTGCTCTTTGTTAGTTGTGTTTATATATTCTTTATAATGTGAACCTTCGTCCTAAAAATGGAACGTGATGGCTTAAATACTAACTGCACATAATATTGTAGTTATCAGGTAAAGCTATCACACTTAAAAATGCGAATAACATCTCAGTGGCAGAATTATGGTTGGTTAGAATACGGTAAAGAAATGTTCTCATTGACAACATTCAGTATAGAAGTAAGTTTAACAACTTCGGACAAGTTTCTATTGAACGTTGACTGAAATGTTTATACTTAGTTTCATTAGTGCAATATTTTACGTTCTTCAAAGGCTATCAGCTTAATCTAGGACGACAGGTAAGCCAGCTTCAACAATATCTGTAACCTCTGCAAGACCCAATTTAACGCAATCTCTCCAATGGTGCCCACTTTGTATCAAAAAGTAATACATCTTATGTTACTTACGGCACATCACTTCTTAAAGCCGAATATCCTGAAGGAAGCAGCGGCACCAGTTCTCCGCATGTCAGTTCCATCAGTAGCGCATTAATTACTAGAAACACTGAATTTCTCATAATTATTTGACGTTTTAAAAATGTATCGTTTTCCGGAAATCACAATACGAGCTCATTTACTGCAGGGCAATGTTCTGCCAGCACGCAGCTAGAACCTTGTAACACTGCAGCTGCAGCTGTCGCCGCACTAGCAGAAGTTTAAACCCACAGCCTTCGTGATGACCGCAACTGTTACCAACCTATAGTCAAATCGCGAGAAATAATTAATATGTGTACTGTTCATTACACCATTCACAATGTACAGGTCACAAACCTCGTAATCAGTGTAATCAGATGAATGCACCAATACATAACAAGTTGTTTCCAAAGTAAGACTAAAATAAAACCGATGTTTATCTACGGTATTCACTTGGGCGTCATGTGAGTTCCGTTCATTATAAAATCGCACGATCATCTGCCGATGACAGGATTTACTGGCTGGAATTCTGGTGCCTATTGTCTAACCGACAAAAATCCCCGTGCATTGTCTAACCGACAAAAATCCCCGTGCATTTGCACTTCTCATCCAAATGAGGAACATGGTATTACATCACACAGAACTGTCAGAACTTCTTCACGATATTAAATGACTGATCAGGGCCAGATTTAGAGTTTCGGGGGCCCCGGAGAAATCTAAATGTGGAGGTCCCAAACAGTTACAACAAATTTAGGTCATATTGTAATTACTTATAAATAAATAACAAAAATGTTTCAATAAGCAACACGTAATCAGTTTCCGGCGTTGATTGCCTGGGCGCTTCTCGCCGTAAAAAAATGGATTTCATATTGACAACTTTTCAAGAGGTCCCGGGGCGACTGCCCCTGTCGCTCTCCCTTAAATCCGGCCCTTTGCACAATATGAGCTCCAGAACTATTTGACGTCTAATTTTGACAATATTGCCGTGCGCCTGGCTGCGACGTCACCCAAGGTCTTCATCGTTACTACCACCCCCGCTCTTGGCCATCAAACCAGTGACTTCAGTCGACTGCGTGCGCAGGATGCTGGAATCTTCAACCAACTTCCGAGTTGCATCACCAGACCCTCGTACTTTCTGAAAATTTACTTTAGTAGACGAACTTTCCCTATCCCCCTCGACTGGTTAAGTAGAATTCAGAACTTCGTGGACGGTTCGTTTCAAGATCGTCCGGCAGCGCAGAAAACGGACAACATGGCTCTCGTCGCCAGGCATCGCAGTCCATCGCTTCTCGTCGGTAATCTGGAGGCCTGTCTCGGTAGACTGGAGCGCTGGTTTATGGCACCCAGTTTTCTTCGAATGCTTCAGTTAATTCGTATGGTAACCACATAATAAACTAGCGCAACATCCCGTTGAAATTTTAATGGGAAATCTGAAAAGCTCAATAGATTTTTCCTTCAACTGATTCTAACTGGTGACTCAGCGCAATTTGTATTTCATCACCTACCATCAGCAGTGCCAAATTTTGGAAAGTAGTTTCCACTAGCAGTGAAACGACTAAACATTTTTATTTTTTGACAATTTAACTACAATCTTGCAGAGCGATCGGCGATGTGCATCGTACTGTTTGATAATTCAGACTGACACGACGAACTTAGCTACCAGTCTAAATGTCAATGATACGCTGATCTGCAAGTTTGTATGGAAGGAGAGTGCTGTCAATGTTTTAACTGCCGGTTCGTACGTTGTTGATTGCCAATTTTTTGTTTAATTTCTACGGCGGAGAATGGCGTGTGTATATGACGTCACTGTCGAGTCTGACTTGAGGGCGGGCTTGCTTCTAGATCACTTCTTTAATGACTTGAATATTTTGGTACCTTTCGACCAAATCCGTTCAGTACATCACTGCATTTACAAAGCATGACTTTAATTGCGAACTTTGAAATTATGCAGCTGACCTAAGATGTTGTTGAACCCAAGCCTACCGAAGGCAAGTGACAAGATGAAACACTCGGTTCGTTTATATTGGCTCAACAGGCATACAAAATAAAATAAAAACGATCATTTGCAACATTCCTGTTTTCTGTGTACACATCGCTCGCTGGAGACAACGGTGGCCCTGAGCATTTCACTCGTGTCGACGACACGAACCATGGATGTCCAACGCATCGTCCGACAAAATTACAAACACGTAAGGTTAAAAAGGCTAATATGACAAGTTGACTTGACCAGCTGCCCGCCGAACAGGCTTTAGCCTAATCCCTGAAGTGAAGAAGAAATAACAACGAAGCCTAAAAAAGGGACAAACAATTTCGGATTTTCTGTTCAGATTAAAGTTTGTTGCAATGCGTCACTTAATGTACTTACACAAAACACAAATTTATGTGAAAATTAACATTATTTGACGCGATAAACTTAATTTTCATTATTATTTGAAGCTTTCGCAACAACTAAGCAGAACAAAGTCCTCTCGGGCCACCAGCTGCATCAAGCAGTCAAAGAAACCAACGTTTCAGGACGTCTCCATCCCCATCATCGGGTTCTGATGTGACTGGATAACCGACCGACCAACCAAAATGCGGAATCCTTGAGACGGGCTTCTGCTGACGGGTTTGTTCTCTTGGTTCAAGTTCTGACACGTCCAAACTGTTCAATGATCCTACTGTTGGAGCGAGGTTCACATCTGATAACTTTCACTTTGAAAAGAAAATTATGGTTGAACGATGCCTGGGAGATGAACCCGAAAAGGTTGAGTTCACCACGACATCAAGGATATCGAATGTCGCACTAGGTTGGAGATGAGTCATGACCGGGAGTCCGGCCATAGATGAAACAATTCCTTTTGGCATAATTAAGCAGGAACAAAACCTAACTGTGGTCAGCCTTGAATTCTAGTCCGGATGTTTCACATCGAGATCACCCACCATCAAGCTGGGGAATCTTCCACTCATGCATTCGGTCAAATCCGATTCGATCAGGTGTCGCGTGGGTGAGCGGAAGGCATCCGGGAGGTGTAGACCCGTGACTGACAAAGCGTAATTATCTATGCCCCTGCGGACAAGAATCACTGTGCCTCCTCCCCGAGTCAGGCCGTTCCTTCGGGGAAACGTTTGCGAACTGTAGGGCCTGATCTAATTCAAGGATGCGTCTCGTTTAGGAGGCAGACACCAACGCCGTGCTCACTGAGAAACTGGTCCAGTCGCGGATCCAGTCATCTGGCCAGCCAAATAGTTTTCCCCCATTTATTCTCCAAGGCCGCGCTTCTATTATCGGCTATGAAGAGAATTACGTTTTTGGGACAACTCCAGGACTAGTTTTCCCTGTTGGGAGAGAGTTGGTTTGAGATATGGATAGGAGCTGCCTGAGCCAATGTGGTTCCAGCCCAAGCCTGGTTTCTCCTAGTTAGGAGCGAGCCAGGTGGAGCGAATGTAGGTGCAGTAAAGCGCGTGGAGACACCAATCTTCTGGCCGCGCTCCCCATACAGCGGCTGCCTTACCTTCATTCCAATTACTGCAAACATGATAGTTTTAATGTGGCTTCTTTCATGAGGTGGACCATGCACCTTGTGGCTCTCCCTACTGCAGAAGTGCTCACGTCCCAATTTCGTCTTGTGCTCAAAATGTCACATGTACTAACAACTTTTAGTGTGGGTACCTGACACCAAATTTCACTGAAAATAGTTAATTACTTCTGGAAGAGTAATGTATAAAGCTAAATGCATATATAACCTTCCCATCATGGATTCATTTATTCATTTCATGTAAAGAAAGCATAAGAAAGGCAAATAATAATATACAGTGGATTCTGGTTAATTGGGACACATAGGGACGAGAACACTCTGGCCCAATTATGTGAAGTTCCACGTGAAGAGTTAACATGGTTTGTTATTTAAGATTTGTCTGAAATAAACGGCTGCCCCAATTAACCGCAATCTACCGTATTTCTTACTGCCATGTTACACGTTTATGGCAGGATGAAAGCAACAGGCAATACGTGATACATGCCACTTATTGAAACAGCGTGCATAGCAATGTGAAGCATTCATATAAAACCAACAAAGATATCAGTTTTAAATTATCACTCATTGACAGGCAATACACATCAATATCTTTCTGCTATATCAGAAATGATAGATATCACCTATTGCTATGTAGAGGCTGCGTCATGCAATGAACCACCTTACATGCGGTGCATCAGAGTAGATAGTAAATGTTTGTGAAAAACAATGAAATATTAAGGTCATGAAAATTACTGAATAATCATTTTATTCAGTGACATTTCCACAAACTGACAATAGGATTGCTTTGGTGTAAATGTACAAGTGATATATCACAAATTTCCTGTCACTCGTTGCCAGATGTCTCGATGTGAATCCTGCCTAAGAGTAAAAGAAAATCCGTATCTCACTCATTGCCATTATAATAATTTACTTTATCCCATTAAAAATCTCTTAACAATTACAAGTGTACAGATTCATTGTCAATTATAATGTACACATTGGACTAGTATTTATTTGTGTGTCAACTCTCAGCTATGAAATTCTGCAAGGCTCTTCCTGACCAATGTCATTGTCATTTTCAGAACCTGTTGCCAACTGACCACCCTGCAAGACATTGTTGACAACTGCTCGTGCCAAATAACCAGTTGTAATGGAATAGTGAGTGGAGAAGAATGGGGTCAGGTCATCCAGTTTCTCAGTCTTGTTATCCTGTAAATTACAGCTTTATATTATGACTGTAACTCATAAATTCCTATGTTTTTCTACACATCAACAAGCTATTCTCATCAAGGTTTTTGTGTCACAATCTGAAACACATCTTCTTCCTAATGCTCAGAGAATAATAACGTAAAACAGATGCCAGTAATTAAATTAAATTTTCATCATTATGTCAATCAGACCCAACATTTTATTCCTTAGCAAAAACCTCCCATTCAATACAAGGTCAAAATTTGATTTTTTCTTTAATCACATTAAGTATTCATAATACTGAAAAATATTTCAAACCAATGTTGTAGATATTCATTTAATTCATCTGATGAGATATTTTGGGGGAAAGTGTTTGTTTTGAGCCCCTCATAATGTTCTATTGGACTGACAAACAAAAATTTAATTTTCTGATGAATTTTTGTGTAAATGAACAGTACCAAACTTAATGAGTTTCATTCAGAAGCTCTAGATACAATTGAAAATACTTCTCCTCATTATACCTTACTTTTGTTCCCTTCACAAAAAAATATATAAAATTAAATTACATGAAAAGAGACATCTGAGCCACAGGCAAGTTACAAATTGTTGATATGCATGATAGTGCAATCCTGTAACACATGTACAATTTATACACATTAAAAAATGGCCACTAAAAATAAGCTCCACCGGACCGTGGGAAGGGTATCAGATGATTCTGTGGCGGGAAGAAGTCTTACCTTACAATACATGAAATAGGCTTCTTTCACCAAATGATCAAGATCCAGTTGACTCTGGAAAGTTAGCTCAGGATTCCTGGTCAGTATTGTGGAAACAATACACAATAACTGAAAAGAAAACATTCAATGACATCTGTCTTTCCTCTTTTGACACTCACTTTAAATTGAGCATTTGTTTTATTACTGAAAACTTAAATTTAGGATCACAATTTGGCAGATTCAAGGCATGTCAATGGAGATCCATTTTAAGATAATCAATGGGATCAAGATTCAACAAAAACCAATGAAGACCATTATAGGGACGGTTTGTTTGAGAAATAATCACTCTTCATAACACTGCAAAAGCTCATGTTACCAACAGTCCCAAGACTACTATAATCAAGCATCCTCCATTATTTTTTAAGTATATTATAACTCAGATGGAAGTTCAGTATCTGTGTTCCCAAAGGAAGAAACTAACCATATGCCATTACAGGCTGGTTCCTGGACAATTTCAAAAGATTACTTTAGCAAAGGGAATGAGCAGGGATATCACCTTGTCAATATTTTACTAAATTACGGCGAAAGAGATTTAATATGTTCACAATGGGAACCAATTACTGAACATACATATCATGAAGTCTTGTCACTGCTTGGGAATCTGCCCCAAGTTTTGGTAGTAGACAGGGCTTACTCTGTTACAGAAATAACCAATTATAAAAGTCTCAAGTGGCTAAAATCTTTTTATCCTCAATCAAGAGCCCTACTAATCAATCAAGGAAGATGAAATCACAACAATGACATATATATAAAACATCCTATTACGAACAAACTCTAGTTTCACTAATATGGATCGTTGGTCTTGCTTTATTTAACTAATAAAGATACCAGCAGAACGTGGTGATTGTCACCTAAGCAAGTAAATTAAAAATATGCCCATAAAAGCCGAAGCAAAGCTAGCAAGCATTCTTGTATTTGCACACTCTAATCAACGTACTTTTCATATCACACTTGTACTCATTTAAAGTGTACAATCAAGTACTGATCTTTTGGCACCAGTTACAAAATTTCATTCATTTACTTCTACTCCTACAGTAACACTTTATTTTCTTTGCCTCAGCTTTTAATGACCCCTTCCATGTCACACATTTCTTGCTATATCCAACATCCTGCTATTTTTAGCTGTTGTATAAGTATGTGGACTGAAATCATCTTGTTCAGGAGAGAGTCCAATGGCAGGCTCTTACAGACATGTAATAAACCTTCATGTTCCATAAAAGGTGAATATTTCCTGATTACTTTAATGATTATCAGTTTCTCAAGAAAGATTCTACTCCATGGAGTTAAAGAATCCAATGTTCAATACTGCTAATATCACAGACTGCTAAGCTAACTCCATTTGAATCACATCCTGCATCCCCAAGATCTGCATCTTACTGTTCTTATCTGTTGTCTTAAAATAAAACCTATAATAAAAACTTCTGGGAGAAACTTAAAAAATGTACTTACTTCTACAACAATTTGCCTGTATTCTGGCTTCTGGATGTGGTTCAGCATCTCTTCAACAAGTAATGCAAAATTGAGTTCTGACTGCGTCATGTTGGACAGGGTCGGATGCTGTGGTAGGTGGCTCCCCTGAACTGTTATACCTTGTGGTGTGCGAGACATGACATCCCACACCTGGACATAGAAGTGAGTTGGAACACGACACAAACAGCCCTCAAGCCGTCGTCGCTGTAATGGGGTCAAGCTGCAACATACCAGCTACTGTACAGAATACAGATTAAAAACAAAATGACAGTAATGCTCGAAAGACTTGACACTTACTTTTCCTGTGTAGCCCACTCCCTAACTGAGAGTACTTTATGAAGCAGCTGTCGCACTTGATATGGACTGTGACTCTCTAATGGTTTGGAATCTGACATCATTTGAAGATAAAGCTTCATGGCTTCCAGAACCCAGCTTTAAAGTAAAACAAACCACTGTAAACGAAAGAACAACACACAATGCCATTATGGCATGACCACAGCACCAAAGACCCTCAGAATGTTAGCTGCGCCAACACTTTCTGTGGAGGTCCAAGTGTAATGAGCCTCAGAGGCAGTACATGAAAACAAAGATTCCATTCCACTGGCCCAGAAACTGACCGTTAACTCCAAAACACATATCCATTCAACATGATAATGTAAGAGTAAGATGAAACACCAATCAATAAGAACTTGAACTTTCAAAATACCCTAGAAACCTATAACGATGTGATACACTCATCTTCATAACAGCCTCTGCCAACTGACTTCACCACCTTCACCACAACAACAAATTCAATAAAAATTGCAACAAGAAAGCTTCATTCTACCTCCAAGATTAATAACCAAAGGGATTTTAACTCACAAACAGCTTAAACATTCTAATAATTTAATATTTTAACCAACCCTTATGAAATAGTCATTCAATATATAATCTTCCCCCTTCCATTTTAGCATGTTTTTAAACCCAAGGAAAAAATATGCTTCTACTCTGTCAAACTTCCTACACTTCCAGGTACATACCTATTACAAATAATCGTAAAGCAATCGCATGGATCCACGCAAATGTTTTATGTATATGTGCAGATGGACTGTCAACCAAACGATAAATATACCGTGCTCTTTGGCGTATAAGACACACTTTTTACCTTCAAAATATGCCTCAAAATCACTGTGCACCTCACACAGGAAAGTATGACATCCTTGCCAATGCAGGTGTGCTCTCTGAATCAATCACAGTCACTTAATTTTGTTTCACATACATTTCTCTAATTCTCCCCCTCAAGATGCAATGTTCAACAACCAACATAATTTCAGTATTATGACAATTGTATAATCTGTTTTTTAAAAGGTCAGATATATAAATTCTTTGATTTTTAGTTTTATACCTCAAAACGTCTTCAATGTACAACACACACTGTGATTTTTATGGTAATTTTAGGGAAAAATCTGTCTTATAGACCAGGACATTTGGCAGTTCACTAAAACTCTATGATACATTTTAATATTACAGAATGCCTGCATCTTTAAGATAGTCTCCAAATTACGTTTTAAAACAACACATGCACATGAAGAGGTGAAACACTGCACCACTGTCCAAATAATGACATTCAAGCAAGCATTATCTGCAAAAGGTTCACCAATGTCTAAAAACTAATGTAAATTTAAAAATTGAAGTCAGCCCTTACCTTCGTAAGTGGTAACTTAAACAAATTTCACTTTAGTTCTTATTTAATTTCCAATATATGGTGATGCACACGTGATGTGACCTACCCTACTCTTATCTTGAGAATTCCTTTAAACATTTCAGGATTTGTGGCAATGAGACGACCACAATATAGTACAACCTCCTGTTGTAACACAGCTTGTATGATATCATATGGCTGAATGGTAGAATACATTACAGACTGGATCTCAGCAGGAGTCATGGGTTTGTCAAAAACTGTTTCTTGGTGTCCAGTCACACCTACAGTAAGCTGTAAGACAAGAGGACAAGCAAAGGCTGTATGCAAAAAAGCAATACTTTATTACAATACGTAATTAATAAATTAACTTTATTTTATGTGTATGATTTGGGGTTTTCACAGCGGTGAGTATGAAGATTTCTGTCTTCTGGGTTGTTGCGCTGTGTAGTATGGTATTTGTTTACCAACGTTTCAGAGGTCATGCTGCGATGAATCGCCGTGATGACGGAGGCAGTATGACCTCTGAAACGTTGGTAAACATCTACCATATTACATGAAGGAAGGAAGGAAGGAGATACAGAAGGTGGAAGCAATGGGTATGATGTTTTTGAGGAGTGCATTGGGTATAACAAGGAGAGATTACGGAATGAGGAACTTAGGAAACAAATGGATGTGAGGGGTCTGGTAGAGAGAGTAGAAGAAGCAAGAATGAAGTGGTATGGACATGTGAAGTGGATAGCACAATAAATGTTGGATATGAGAGTGACTGGCACAATACCAAAGGGAAGACCACGAAGAAGGTGGGAGGAGCAGATAAAATGAGGAGTGATGGAGAGAGGTGCCCAGTGGCAGTTGGTGGAGGGAAAGGAAGAGATGGAGAGGCTTTACCAAATGGACCCGGCCCCAGGCTGGAAACAGCAATGGATGATGATGATGATGATCATTGATTTGATACAGGATCGTTTGAATGTATTCTTACATGACTGGAATATCAACAATACTCAATATACCTGCTTTCCATTCACTAACACTGTTGTGATGAAAGGGCTAATGCTGTCCACAGTGTGATGAAGGAGGCTGCTGCAATACCGCACAGCTACCCAGTATCGTAAGCAGCCTGCATGGTGGTATAAGTTCTTCAAGTGATCCTCAACTGCAAGCATAAATGAGAACAACTGCATGAGAACCTAGTGGAAGAACTTTTCTAGTGAAATCAATGTCTTAAAAATACCACCTACTTAAACAATAAAGTACATCATTTTTCTTCCTAGTTGAATATGTTTATCCAAAGATAACACTGCTCATTGTCACAGAAGGGTGAGCCTTGCTGCTGTATCATTGGTAATATCATATGCACACATACTGCAAGTATTTGCAAAAGAAAACCTCTGTGTCAAAAAGGGGATAATAAATTCCATATGGAGATTATTGATGACATTCTATTCCATGACATAACAGGTTTTTGAGCAGCCAATTGTATCTCATCTGATCAATAAATTTACTGATTTATAGAACCTTAAGATCAATATGCAGTTTAATGTTTTTATATTCATATCTGGGTTCCCCAAGCTGTCTTTTCCCACAAAGTTTGCTAACAAACACTTTGTTTATCATTTACTGCATGAATGCTACATACACTGCTCATCTGTATATGGAGCTCTCATTATGTAATATTCTCCTTTTATTTGTTACTTGCCCTTCTTTGGCCCAAATATCTTTCTCTAAGTTTAAGTTTTTGAACACCAATAACATATCAGGGTTCTCACAATGGTGCATTATATTCAATATTGCTGCTCTTCTGGACTTAATCCATAGTTTAATATTCTAAAACAAGACTATAATACATTTTGGTAGCTGGCTCTATTTCTGTCCTCAGGGACCAGGGTCCAAGAATTTTGATCAGCCCCTTCTATCAGAACCACCAAAATAGGATTTTCACATGAAGACGAGAGCAGAGCCAGCTTCCAAAACATAATGGATGAAGTCCAGAAAAACAGCAATACAGAACCCAGAACCTATTCTCTTCCCTAAGAGTGTAAGACCAACTTTCAGAGATACATGTGGTACTAGCAGAGTGAAATAAACACAGCAAGTCTCAAAGCTAAAATATATATAGTAACAGACACTATTCAGCTTCACCTGTGAGGCCATTGAATTCGTACTTGAGACCTTCTCGCTTCAGAAGCATTCCATATAACTGGCACCTGGCATACACCCCTTCAGTGTTCCGTAGTGTATCCAATAATTCATGTATTGGTTTATTTTCCAGAGCCTGTACAATAATATTCATACATAAAAAGCAATCTCTCTTCCAAATATGTTGGTGTGCAGAAATGTTTGTTCTTTGTGTTCAGTAATCATTCTTTATGGTTTTCAGTTTTAAAATGCATATGATGTTCTTGCATTTTTATGTAGTATTGGTAATCTTTACACATGTATGAAATATACATTTGAAGTAAAGGCCATGTTTTTCTGTTCTTTCATATGTTTCATCTTCAAACACTCCCAGCACATTTCTATCTATTTACTCTGGTATGGATGGTGTACACTAAATGCTGCTGGGTATATTTGGTTTGTAGTTGCAATTAATGAACATAACAACATGTGAAGGTTTCAAAATTGTAAAGCATGCATTTGGAACATGTGCATACATAAAATTGGAGAACACCTTTCTACTGTTGTTTATTACTAGTTTGGAATGAGCTATTTATACTGCATGTCCTATCAACTTGCTTATGTAATCTGTATGAAATGAACTCAATGCAATCCAGCTATCCTAAATCTCCCCCCTTAACATTTATGCAAGATAATACATTTAAATAAGCCACAACTGCCTCTTCTAACCACAATGACCATCTTCCTGTCTCATTTAATGATATTTAGTCTCCAAAAACCATTACAAACCATTTTTATTTTTTCAGTTTACAGAACAGCATAACATTTATTTACATTCCACAGATCCTTCATAGGCCCAAGCCAAGGATGTAGAACATGTCATAGCACAAATACAGTAATTTACAGTCAACTACAGTATTACCCCAAATTAATTATAAGTATAAGTATTTATAACATAGCTGAGAATTTTTGGTTGCAGTTAATTCTTCTATGGAGTAAAGAGAATGAGACAGGAGATATTCTTCTAGTGCTGGCTTAAACTTCTTTGTAACATGATTCAGATTTTTTTATAATGGGGGAATATTACTTAATAGCTTAATTCCAATACGGTAAACTACTTTTTGATATTCACTAAGTTTAGTGTATGGCATATGAAGGTTGCACGTGTCTCTTGTACTTATATTATGGATGAGTTTGTTTGAAAATTTCCTATGTTGTCTACTACAAATGGTGACAGTAAGAGCAAGAATTCGGTGGCTGGTGGAAGAATATTGAATTTCTTAAAAATTCCTTTACATAAGACTCTTATTTTAGAGCCTGCCATTATTCTAATGATTTTCTTTTGAATGTAAAATACTTTCTTGATGTCTGTTAAGTTTCTGCAAAAAATAATTCCATAAAACACGATTGAATGGAAGTAAGCAAAGTAGACTAATTTTAAAGTTTCTGTTTACATGACTAATGTAACAGTCCTCATAGTAAAGCATGCTGAGCTTAGTTTAGGGATAATGTATTGAATATGTGTTTTCCAGTTTAAGTTGCTGTCAATTTGTAGGCCAAGAAATTGTTTCTACTTCTTCAAATGTTTCATCCTCATACCCTATACCTAACTTAACACAATTTTTTTTGGTATGTAATGACAAGTTCAGTTAAACATCAATGCTAAAATAATTATATCACCTATTACCACAGAGTCCCTAACTTTGGGTCAATAGGCCAATAGATTTGTATCAGTTTGTATGAGTCCAAGATATGTATATGTAATGCTTAGCGAATTCAATACAAAACAACAAGTTCTGGAAAGAATGATGATACTTTTCTTCAAATATTTCAATTTATATGAGACTACCAACAACTACAATCTAATAATTATACAATTAAATGAAATATTTGTATAAATATCCATAAGTACAGGTTCCCATTATGTTACTTTGGTCAGACATAACCTCAAATTCTTGTCTGTAGATTTCTGTGGCTGGAGTTCAATGTATAACTCTTGCTTTTGGGTGAGAGCAACATTGAAAGCCTTCAGAAATGGACCCACCTCATACTCACATCGAGAATGGTAACTGCAATGTCTGACAAAACACTGGTTAACACCCAACACATGACACAGCTATCAGTCAAAAGCTGAAGTTATATATATATATATATATATATATACTTGAAGTTTTGCAAAGTTACCATGCTTCCAATTTTTGGTATATGGAACAATAATATATGTAGGCATGTTCATGATTTATCTCCATAAAAATTTGCACATATCTAGCTCTAACGGTTCAATGGTTATCATCAACTGGCCATCTTGCTTTGCATTCTGAAGTGGCACTAGTGGTGCTCCAACATCAAAGGTTTGAACTGCCTTCATTTCGGTATTACTGATAAAAGGAAATTTCAAACTACCAAGGTGGAATGTCCTCCAGCGGCATGATGTTCATACCAAGTTTAATGAAACTCTGTCCATTGATCCAGAAGAAATTATCAGGAGGGCAGATATTAACAAATGGACACAGGCATAATATCATAAAAATTATGGAAATAAAGTTAAAATTCCAATTCCAAATAAAGCCCAGATAATACGTAAAGGTATTCTTGGGTTTGAATTTAGTCAAATAGTTATGTACACTGAAATGTAAAGTTAACCTTTATATTCCGACTTGGTATTCAGTTCAAAACTGCACAGCTTATACCATATGGCCCACTTATTAGTTAAATACAAATTTAGTCTAAGTACAGTAAATTAATTAATGTAATGCTTTATTCTCAGTTGTTGGGATGTATTATAAATTAGCAGCATCCTGTTTTAGCAGATTGAAATAGTCATAATACAATGTTGCACATACTTGGTATGTCTTGGGATCTTCAGTATATTGTAATGCTCTGGGGACATCTGTAAGACTCTGATAACCAATGTATTCATGTTCCATTTGGCGAAACTGCTGAAATGTCATCTCAGATGTATCCACTGTGTTCATGAAGTCCAAATGTTCTACATAAACGGAAATTGCATATGATCATTAAAAAAATTTCTGTTCAAGAAATAAAACACCAGATTCCACCACAGCTCTCCTTACCGATGCATGATGAAGAAATGAGATTTTGTAGTCGCCCAATTCGGACTTTCATTCCATCACAATAGCCTTTTTTCAACATTGCTAAAAGATCCAGCATCTCCTTGAATTGTGGATCTCTGAAATAAGTTAAAATTATATGGGAATAAAAAGAGAATATTCATATAACATTTATCAAAGCAAACAAAAATGCCAAAATTCATTGCATCTGTTCTTCAAAAAGTTTTACAGAATCTATTGCAGTATTCTATACACATCCACAAACGTCATTAATTACAAATCAAACTAGCTAAACAAAAACCATGAAGGCAGCACACATAAATCACTGAAATTAATCACACACATGTTATTACAAAAAATAGTGATGTACTTGAGCAAGACACCATTACCTTCCTAAATAAAGACAAAGGCTGTGAAGGTAATGTTAAAAATCTCTGCATAATATCATAAATGATTTGATTTAATTGTTAATTACATAGTTTTGTGTTCTTCATGTCTTCTGATTCTACATAATATCCACATATTTGTGCATTATGGATCAATTATTGTACAATTTTTCAGAAAATTAAATTTAAATACTATATGTAAATGGAAAGTTAACGGCATTATATTACATATATGGGCATACATTCTACGAAATACCTCATATGTTCCTCTCGGATGAGGAGGCAAACAGTTGGTCGGCCTGAAAGTCTCCAGTACCGTCCAACAAACTGCAGTTCAGTTTTGATGTCATCGATAAGTAATGCCATATCTCTGTACAAGTAGAACTCGGACACCTCAAATATCAAAGGATAACACAAAACCGTCATTCCACAAACTCGATACACCTGCAACAGCACAGACTCCAATAGTCATATTGTAACACCAACAAAAGAAAAAAGTGCAAAAACTCTGAATGGCTGATTTTGACATCAATGTTATTCCCAAAATATGTCCATAAGAATCATCATCCGAAGATGACATTTAGTAATCATCAGCCAGTGCTCTGTAATCATCCCAACATTTCATCCTTCATTGTGAATCCTGCAGTGCAATTCACATTCTAACAGAGATGCAACATGACCGAGTACCTGTAACATTTCATACCTCCAGACTTCATGCAGATAATGACTGACCAAACCATTTTGTATGCATAACAGCATACCACAGCAGTTACCACAACCAGGCACAAATCATCAATGTACAGAACAATGGCAACCCGTAACAATTAAAGAAATGGAAATATATCTCCTGTAATATAAAAGATAATAAACTGGCCAAAGAAAGTGTTCTTTTATTTTTGCAGTATGCACTCTTTAGCTCTTTCATCACCTACTCCAGACTCAATAGGAGGTCAAAGACAATATTTCTCAGCTACATAACAGACATGAACATCCATACTGATCATGGTGCAATTTCTTCATCCTTAGATGAGTCTAGCATTGCAACTTCCATACAACAAAAATGGGCACCTAAATAAGACCCAAAATTGATTAAAGACTCTTGGGCTACAAGCCACCTGACACGGCTGTAGCCCCAGAGTTTTTCATCAACTTCAATCGCCGCGAAAGCTTCACTTTATACATCAAGACCCAAAATGTCAACTGGATGGAAAAATTAAAAACCACATAATCATTCAAACGTGACCCTCAGTGGACTAGTGGTAAGTGTGCTCATCACTGGATCCAAGGTTCATGGGTTCAAACCCGGCTAAGGTCGATGGATTTTTAAGGGTGATAAAAAAATCTGTAGCACAACTTCCTTCAGAGAGGAAGTAAAGCTGGCGGTCCCACATCGCAGATTTATGGCATGTAAAAGAACCTTATGAGCATGAATGAGATGTTTCATAAGCAAAATTCAGCGGCCATTTCTCACCCATATCTCTATTGATTCTCTACTAGATGGCTATAGCAAATCAAGATTGAGTATAAATTGTGCAGAGGCAGTGGGAGTGTCACTCACTACTCAAAAGTTCACTTCAAGACTAATAAGGACAAGTTGCCTTGAGCAACTGTCCAGAATGGGTCAATGGCCCATTCCTTGTTGTGGAAATGAATGAATGAATTAAATAATAAAGCCTTGTTTATTCGATACTGTCTCAACATACCTTGCTTGTACCAAGTGCCCCTATAGGTCGAACAGGTCTTCCATTCAAACATAGCTTGGAGTTAACACCAAGTTGTTTGTAAACTTTAACCAACTCTCTTGAAGACCATATTTGCACTGGTTCCACCTCGTGAGGGGTTTGAGTTTGGATGCCATAAGTTGCCATCATTGCTTGGAGACGCATTGACTCAGCAATCAGAACTATTTGTACCACAAGATCTGTGGCAGTTCCTTGCTAGAAGAAATTATAAACAATACCAATAATGATGCATAAAAACATACTTAAATACTTCTCTGGTCCCATATATTAAACAGCTTAACATGACAGAAATATCTGGAGCAAACCATTCCTTCATGAATAGCCCTCACATCTCACTCTGTAATGGAATGACTCGTTACAGGGAACTAGGAGAGGAATACAATACTATGAACATATTATAAGTTAATTTGATTCTCTGTACACCATGGCAGTGTTCTATTCTTATAATTTGATTCAATAAACCACCTAGTGAATTATGGATGGGTGTAGGGAGGACAAGAAGTGACTGGAAGGGCCTCATGGTTGAGAGAACTGTGGCCAACAATTATCAGATCTATAAATACAAGCTCCTGCAATGGGCCAACAAGTGTCAAAATAATGAATGAGACCGCAACCAAGGAGTTGAATGTCAAGTGGAAGCAAACACTTGTGGACTGTGACGTGCTCTACATGTATGTGCCAACTGAATAACAGGAGTGAAAGCCAGTAGTACCAGGAGACTGGAAGAACAGTATGACATAGAAGAGAATATTTACATCTCGATAACTAGGACTGTAATTCATAAAGATGAAGTCATTAATCCAGGAAGTAATCAATCGTAAAAGTGTGAAATAGATCAATCTTGTGTTTTTAAACAAATAACCTGCTGTGTTATCACCAATATATTACAATATTTTATATGCAGCAGCACTTATAAAGTACACTATAGGTCAAATACAAAGTGGGAAAAATAAGGCCAGTTCATTCACAGCTGATGTGATGTGGACAACCTCCACTGTACCAACTACAGAACCCGAAGGTTCATCACTGAATTAACCAAAGCCCTCCACCAGTTCCTGTCCCGGCCACCAAAATCCAGTCCCCTTCAACTTCTATCTCCCATAGATCCCACCTGATATTATCCTCCCATCTATGTCTAGGTCTCCTCAGCAGACTCTTCCCCCAGGATTTCTGACCAATTCCTGGTGCACACCTCTTGCCCCATCCATGCACACCACATGCCCCACCCATCTCATTCTTCTTGACTTAATCACCCTGACAATATTGGAGTAATAGTTCAAATTTTTAAGCTCATCATTATGCAGTTTTCTCCATGCCCCATCATCTTCTCTCCTAGGCCCAAACATCTCCTCCACACCCTATTCTCAAACACCTGCAATCTATGTTCCTCCCTCAGAATGAGAGACCATGTCTTGCACCCACACAAAACAACAGGCAAAATTATTGTTTTGTATATTTTAATCTTTAGGTTCTTAGAAATCAGATGGGAAGACAAAATATTTTGAACTGAGAAGTAGCAAGCATTTCCAGAATTTAGTCTCCTCCTAACTTCCTCATGAATATCATTTTGATTTGTTATTGTTGTTCCCAAATATTTGAACTTTCAAAGAATTTATTAGCCACCCTAATATGACTTTGCCTGCTTGTCTGCTGACAGGATACTAACATGTACTTAGTTTTTTTCTGAATTTACTTCTATCCCCACCTTTCTACTAGTTTCTAGTAACACTTCTGTGTTCCTGTTTATTGTATTTATATCATCACCATATGCCAATAGCTGATGAGACTCATTCAACCGTAGTCATTATCTCATCTCTCTACCTTGTAGAGTCATAGAATATAAGGATTCTCTTCTCTCTAATCCCAACACCAGGACAAAATAATTTAACAGAAACTTTCTGTATAGCACAGTCCCAATTACACAAGGTCAGAATATCTGCTTTGTAGATTGACCTCAAAGCTCATGACTTATTTCATTTGTTTATAGAATTGATTGTGATGAATGGTTCAGCCATAAAACAGCAGAAAGAACTGAAGAACTTGGCATGATATGTGCCGTAATTTTTCTTCAAAGTGATGTAATTACAAAATAAATTCACTGCATCTTCATGTTGGTTAACGAGATTCAAAGAGTGGCATGGTATTTGGGAGATGGCCATACTATGGGTGGTGATCAGCAAGCTGTCAATAAATGTTATAGTAATTTTCAGTTTACTGTGAGAAAAAATCTGTTGCAAACTTACAATAATTAGTACAAATAAATGTATTCTTTATTATTTTTACATTAAAAACTGTTTCACAGGGTAAATATGAATGGAACAGCAGACCATTCAGTATTCTCCTCTCCATTACTGCAGATGATCAAGAGTACTAGATTAATTATTGCCACATCATCATTAAACCTATTATTTCCTTGGTTTGACTATATCTTTACCATGACCCAGCATTCTTTGTTCCTTTCACATTATCACATTCACAATTGATACCACATTAAACATTAGAAATGCTACACTACAAACACTAATATAAATACTACACAGCACACACTTAATAAGTAAATTGTACATGCAATATATAAAATAATTATACCACAGAAAGGACATTTACAAATATAAGAAGAAACTAAAAGCAATCATACAGTAATTATATAAAATAAATGAGTTTGATGTGGTAGCTACAGCAGCTTCATCCTTCTGCCAACAGAAAAAAAGATAGAATGAGCTTCCACTACCCTAGCCAAAACCATGACCAAAGATAAAGAAATCAGGATGTAGTGAACCTCTTTACAACTTTAAAACATAAACATTTAATATTAATTTAAAATGCTGATATTGGCATCCAAACATATGAAGGTTGTGGAAGAAAATGTATTTGAATGCAACATTATTTTCAACAGAAACATTTAGTGCTGAAAAATAAATTTTATTTTCAATACACTCATAATATCAAGATATGAATCTGTTAATACCTCAAGTTAGCATTTATTTTACCTTCCTGGCTTCTGTCTGCCTCAGAAATGGCAAAGAAGTCCATTTCTTAGATGGAAGAACTGATGAGCCAGACACTGCTTACTCCTGATGTTAGGATGCTGGCTGGCAAGAGATTTGCAAATTACCATGTCAGACATGAGAAGAAATATGCAAAGAAATCTGCAATGGATCTAGTTGGTCTCAAACCTGAGCTTTAGGGTAGAAGTCTAGCACCTCAAAACTTGACATCTCGATTGGTTAGTAATTATTAAAATTTTCATGTTATTACTCATGTTGAAATCGCACAGTTTTATTCATTAGCAATTCTGAAGGAGATGCAACAAGCCAAGTTTGTACAACTGCTAATTTGATATGCCTCCATTTACAACAATTTGCTTTGAAAAATGTTGAATTATAGTTTCACTGATGAATACAAAATGAGAATTTTAACGTTTAGTCGCGTAAGAAAAAGACAAAATAAAATAATAGGAAACAGAAATATAAAGAAAGTACTAAAAGTAAAACTAGAAAACAAATACTAGCAGAAAGTATGTCATACCAATTTCAGAACATTAAGAAATACAGGATAGCACTAATATGTGCTAAAACATGCTTTAAAATGTTTAAATAAGTCTTAAATAAAAAGGGTGCACATTTGTAAATAATAAATGAGTACTTACAAGTGAAGGTTTGGCCTATTGCACCACCAGAATTGAAAACAAAAATAAACAATGAGTATATAACAACAAGTTTTAAATAAACACATTTAATACTTAAATGACATACTTATTAAATCTAAAGAACAGTTCTCAGAAATCCTGAAATGAAACATATTGGCTTACATGTGCTGTGTTCCGGTTTTAAGGATTATGTGGAGTACAAACAGCTTGAGAAAACAATTTTAATTTAAATTTCATAAAATAAATATTTTAATGTCAGTGCAAGTGAACTGAAGAAGGAAGATTTCTGTCTTCTGGGTTATTGCGCTGTGAGAACCTCAAGTCTTACGAACTGAAGAAGGTTAGTGATGGGCATATGCGTAGCTCAGATAAAGAAGACAAGAAGTACATTTAGAATTTTGGTGGAAACCTCTTTTAAAGTGGTTACTTGGGAAGCACAAAAAGGGAATGGGAAATGAAATCTAAGTTAAAAGTTGATGGCATCATGCCAGAAGGGCATAACAACACATCTGTATAATTTAAGATATATGGTTTAATAACATAAAATTGTGGCATGTATGTCATGCCAGAAGTGCATAAAGCTGATGCTGCACTACACAAATATATAAACAGTTGCATTTGGGCATATGAACACTAAAATAAACACCTGCAAAACCAAACAGGGGTAAGAATTTAGTCTCCTGTAAATCAGTCATTTTGCTCATGTGCCCATATGGCATAAATACCCTTCATATGAATATACATTCACAGACCCAAAAGTTAGAATGTGGAATAAGTCACAAAAATACAAAGCATACAGTACAAATACAATTCAAAATCATAAAAATTTTATGCGAAATACAGGTTTCACATAAAATATTCAAATGTTACACTAAATTCATAAACATACAGTAGGTAAGTTATATTACATAAAAAAACTTTAGAAAAATTATGAGTCAATTTTAAACACTATAAATTCAACAATCAAGTAAAGGGACTGTGTATTTTACTATCCTTTTAATAATGCTTTAAAATGTGCCTTTTTATTCTTAAAACTTTTGAGACTTCAAGGTAGACAGTTGAAAATCTTAAAGCCAGAATAATATGCACTGATCTGAAATTATTAAAGGCTGGCAACTCACCTAAGATGGTCCTCATTCTTTGTGTTAACAATGTGAACTGTTAAATCTGTCTGAGGATGTTTTGGTTATTTAAATGAATTTTATTAAAGAAAATATGTATTCACATGGAAGAGATAACATCTCTAATTTCTTAAATAGACTTCTAGATGGATTTCTTAGTTTAGCACCAGCCATATTTCCAACAGCTTTTCGTTTGTAAACATCATTGTACTGATAGATTGATTACCACAAAAAATATGCCATTATTTCATTGAAGAGTGGAAATAAAGAAAATAAACTGATTTGAAAATGTCAGTGTTGGTGATATGAAACATTGATCTAAGTGCATAACATGGTTCACTTAACTGAGGAATCATCTAATAAATATGATTCTCCCAGTATAAGTGGTAATCTGTAAACCAAGAAATTTTGTACTTTGACTCTTCTATGCACTTTCCATTATAACCAATACTTGATGCATATTATGGTAAAGTAGTCATTATAAATTTTCTCATATTTAACTAGAGTTAGGGTAAATTTGTTAGCAGTAAACCATTTACTAAGTTTGACACTGCAGAAAACAACATTTTTACTATAAATTATTACACTAGTGTCATCACTAAATATAATGGAAGGTCATTATATGCATTAAGAAATGCTAAGGCCCTAGAATTGATCTGTGGGAACTAAATGTTTTATTGTTCCCTGTTTAAGAAGAACTGTGAGCTGCATTTGATGTTTTATTTCAGTCTTTTGTTTTCTATCTGTAAGACTATATTGTGCAACATCAAAGATGACAGTTACCTTCATACTGACCATCATGAGTAACTGAAATCTGTTTAAAACTGTTACTTTAATGCCATAAGTGTAATTTATCTAACAAAATTTCATTTTTTACACAAATGCTTTTGTTAAATCACAGAACTTTCCTCCAAAATGTAATTACTTAAATTGAAACGTTTGTATACAAGAACAAATTGGTGAACTTTTATGTCCATAAGAACACCACCAAAAATGACCATGCTCACCTGAAATGCCGAATATCTTCCTCCTTTACGCGGTCTGTTGTAAGAGGGCAAATATCGTCGTATAGGATCCAGTTCATTGATATGCAACAACCCAGCTGTCAGCAGCTGGGCAATAACAAACATGGCCTGATTCCACAGGAACATCCCCTTTACACCACTACCTTCACTACTGGATTGCCTTATCTGGCTGCCAGGCTCCTGCTTCTCGAATTCTATATTATCTTCATGCACAAAGAAGTACATTGGAATTACTGGATCTGAAATATATCACAAACTATTAGTACATCCAAATAACAAATAACTCATCAGCAACATTTTTGCAGCATTGGTTTGATCTAGTCTTACTGAATACTTCCGAGTCTAAGTAACCAAACTACATGGAAGGGCTCTAAAAGTGAGATTTCTATGACAGTACGTGTTGATTAGTAGTAATTATCATGCCTGAATAACAGCACCAATCCAAATATTATTCACTGTGAATTTTCTTCAACAAGTGGCTGTAATTACAAACATGTATTTGAAGCATCTTAGCTCCTAATCAAAACACATGCAGAAAATAATTCATATTTGTTCAGCAACTGAGCCCAGATAAAATGAACCCTCTGTCCTGTTTAACTATTGCTGCCTACTGAACAGATGGCATAGTGGTCAGTATATTACACTCAAAAGGTCTTGGGTTTGATCCCACTGTCACTAATATCAAAACAAAAAGTAATAAAAACCTGTCAGTATAATGACAACAAATCACTTGTATATGGGAGCAGAGACAAATCCAAAAATGTTGTGTGCATCAAACAGATCTCTGATAATAATTATTATCAACTCATACAAAATAATACTGAAAACATAATGAACAGCTGCATGCTTCATGATGAATATGGCTAGGTGTTTGTCCAATATTCATGATCATTACAATCAGCTTACAGCTCTTGTAAACAATAATAAACCCACAGGCTGCACAAAAAGGTGAAGAATTTATTGACCAGTTGAGCAAATATTAACTTCTCAAGAACAACTCTGTTTCATGGAAATAAACATAAAAAACACAATTTTCATTACAATAAATGTTCATTTAAGATTTATTCTTCAAGAAGTGCTGTGGAATGTTCAATTAGAATATCTACCCAAAAAGGAATTTATTTAATATGATCACAACATGCAAACAATTAGATCTATAACATTCTTAATGCAAATGAAATAGTCTTCCCACAACTTGAACAATTATTTACTATACCTCCATTCATATCTCTCTTGATTTTAGATTTAAGAAGATTCTGGTACTCCTCAATCTGTTCAGGTTGCGACTTAAATACACCATCTATTATCATAAATATATAAAATAGTGGCCATTCACACTCAACGCCTTCAAATTCCTGAAAATAAAAATGTAATTATAAATATGAATAGCTTCAAAGTACAAAACATAACTCCACTTAACAACTTTTATGGGACACACATCTGTTTCACACATAATGTAAGACTTTTGATCAAATGGTATGTGGGTCATACAGCAAGAAATGAGCTGAATGGATGATTATGTACAGAGAAATGAAAATGAAGCAGTTACTGCCTACATTACCCCATAGATTTTACATGGAATAATGAACCAAAAGCCTTAAAAACTTTAAAACAGGATACCCACCATTTCAGCCCAGATTCAAAGTATGTACTTCATACATTTAAGGCATAAACATTATTGTTGTCCCAACCCATTCAGTAGGGAATTCCAAATAGGAACAAAACAGCTTATACAAATAGATTTTATCTTGCCATAAACAGCAATATTTTTTGCTACATGGGTGGTCTCCTTTAATAAATTAATGAAATTATTTAAACATGTGCTGACCAAGCAATGGACAAAGTTACTGGACTCACAGATAAATACAAAAAATTCATTCCAGTCACCTTGGTTTCACCATTCCTATAGTATCTCCTATTAGAATCCTCCAGCACACACTTGTAACCATCACGACAGAAACGTTTAAAACCATAACGACCTTTCAGTCGACGGACAACGTTTGCCTTTGTTTCTACACATAATACATCCTCATGTGTTGCAAATGCAGGGAATGATATTGTTGGGATCAAAGAGGAATCCACACCCTGAAACAAAGTAAAAGTTGTGAAATACATAAAGACATTTTCAATGAAGACAATGGCAAATAAAGAGATGTTTTAATAGAAAATAGAAAAGCCATGTTCCAGTAATGTCCACAATATAAAGTAAAGGTCACTTAAAATGGTACCCAATGCATTTGAATCACAGGCAAACAACTTTAGAACCAGTATTAAAAATTATTTATATAATTACATGTAAGATTTATAACACTAAACCCACCAAAGAAATATCACAAAGGTTTCATATTTTAAATGAAAAAATATGAATGATTCATATTACAGTATTTATCACACAAGACTGCTGCAAGTAAACAAACATCACTGTACCTTTGAGCTCGATTCCCTTGGTAACATTGTTTCAAAGATGCTTCGATTGCGATTATGTGCATCAATGTCAACATAAATAACTGACCATGATGCTCCCTTCTCACCAAACAAATTACATCCATTTATTGCTTCCAGAGCACTTTTGGCTATACCAATAGAACTGAAATAAAAACAACTTTTAGTGTCAAACAGCTTCCAAGCTAACCTGAGTGCCAACTGAAAGCCAGAAACCACTTCAACTTAATTTTGCAATGTGCTTTAATCTTGGTTTTATTTCTGTGCTGTTACCTCTATGTATGTTCCAATTAAAGATAGAGACCTGTTGCCCATAAAACATTTATGTAAGTAAAACTACTGACAAAACTTAAACAATAAATTAAATCAAGATTAAACAATTACACTCATCTCAACTTCCATTATCCCTCCCTTTTATGAACAGTTTATTATTTTTGGGTTAAAAAAACACAATTAACAGCTGCATGATGCTAAAACAGGAAAGCTCTGAATGAAATCAAATTAATTAAAAAATCACTAGCCAAAAAGTATATTGTTCAAACAGGAGACCTCAACATAGCAGCCATCAAACTAATTCAAGGGCATAAAAATTTGTCAATATCTCCAAAACTTCTTTTCACATAAACTGTCCCCTCTGCTACATTATCTAATTTATGCCCTTCTTTTCAAAATGTGGGGTATTAAGTGAAATTTCAAGTTCTCACTGCAGTGAGTATGAAGATGGCTGTCTTTTGGGTTGCTGCACCATGTAGTCTGGTATATGTTTACCAGTGTTTAAGAAGTGCATGTTACCTCCATCATCAGGACAACTGACAGAGGTAGCAAGCACCTCTGAAACATCAATGAACTTCAAACAGATTACACTATGCAACAAACTAGAAGACAGTGATCTTCACGGGGTATTAACTTTAGACAATGTAAAATAGAAAATATATAAACACTCTTGTGCAATGTGCAATGTGCACTGGAACAGAGCTAAATAAAGTACCAAACATTTCACCCCCAAAGTAAATTTATTTTCACAGAGGTAATGGCAAAAGACTGATATTTGATTGACCATTTTTATATGCAGTATGGACATTTAAATTATAAAACAATTTAACTTTCTAAATTCAACTGAAATTAATAACACCTATGCTATTTCCAATTTGATACAGTACATTTGACAGGAATAAAACTCAACCAAATGCACTATTCAAATAGAATTTGTTTGCAAATATAAGAGAAGTTATTAATTATTTATTGTGAAATAAAACTGGGCTGATGTAAGGAAGAATACACAGTCTGCTGTGCAAGACATGAAAGAAACGAGTCAGCATGGCTTAACTATGGTATTTTCAAATTGAGAGGGATGGCTATTCAGATGGAAAAAGATCCAAATATTTGATGCAAAAGCATTCAATGTAATTTATATCACTTACTTTGTTTCTTCACAATATATCAAACTCAGTTCCAGTAACACCACCCCATGCTAATATGTAAACCAATGTCCATCTACTTTACAGTACCCTTTGGATCTATGACCTTACAGAATGATTCGAACAGGTTGCATTGCAAAATAAGTTCATTATTGATGCTTCACTCATCTAACTTTCATTCTTTAAGCACATTCTTTCTTTGGTCCAACTGAATATATGTACTTACAATGGTACACTACAGGCCTAAGGTTCATGACAAATCTCTACCAAGTTTACACTGGGATAGTTTGCAAAATGAAATAGATACATGTGCCACTGATCCCAACCTGCTTCTTTCTTTCAGCTTTACTCATTTTGCATATTTTTTTACATTTCCAAAATTTACCATGACTATGTAGGTCCTTGCCTTGCATGTATCTCAGGAGTTCCATCGTTGTATTTGCTGCCTCGCTCCCACATGCCATAATCTGGCGTACGATAAGCACGTTCCACATAGTATACCAAGTTTTGAATGAATGCAACTTCAACCTGTGTATAGATGATCTGCAAGCCTGAAGTAATCATCTGCACTAAGAAGATCAAGTACAGAGACACAACATCTATCTGAAAGTTAATCAGACTTAATATATCACATTTGCCTTGAGTAAGTATACCAAGAGTAAGTGGAAATGGATACTTAAATATGTAATTTATATTCAAAACAGAATGTGTAATTGTTGTCTGTCTGTAAAGCACAGTCCAGTAACTTCCTGTTGATAAGTAAAAGTAACCATCAATATTAACAGTCATATTATCACTGCACAGTAAACCCTGAATTTAATGGACTAATAGGGAAAAGTGTGTCTGGTAATTCTGACTGTCCATTAAACTGCACATTTGTTTTTATGGCACCAGTAGTGCATCTTTAGACCAACATTTCCATTAGAAACACAATTAAACATTTTAATATTGTGAAATGGACACCTACAATGAGAAAATGTTCATTAAAACACTACACTCTAAAGACAAAATTGCTCATAAAAGAAATCAAACAACTTTGTAAGTCAAAACCGAAAATGACCACTAATGACTTGCATCCAGAAAAAATTTGGCAATACCAGATGGTGTCCGTTAAATCCAAAATCCATTAAATCAAGGGTTTACTGTATTAACTGTGTAGCACTGGCAAGGCTAGAAGTGTAAGGATAGTAGGTATTTCTTTCATTTTTCTGTGATTTGTTGTTCATTAGCATTCTGATTTCAAGGTTCCATGTTCACACGTTTGCAGACAAACAATTTTGTTTGCAAAAACACATACTTCAGAAGTGTTTTGTTTCTTAAGTTACATTAGTCATTTATATAAAATAGGTATTAGTATGTTAGCTCTTAAAAGGGCTGTTTTCAAGACCTGGCATTTTCAGCAAGATGTCTAGAAACTTTGAGGCCACATCAAGACAAATCATATCCATGGTTGAAACTCAGGGATTGATGTGTCAATGTTAGTCTTCTAGGATGTGATGCTGTATAAACTTATAGGTAGACACGAACATTTTGGAGGAACAGTGATATCCACCCAACAGTCCACAGTGTTACAGTCCAAATGACCAATGTCAATAAATACTAGTTTAAAATTTTCAACATGGTTTCACATGCCTCTGAATTATACAGTATGACGAAATGTACCTGTAAGTGATGGTATTCTTCATCATTATACACTTCAGCACCTGTGATTAGGTGGAATTTGCAATGCAATGCATGTTTATTGCACTGATTTTTCTTGAACAATTCTATTCTTGGTGCTTGTTTTATCCAACACTCAAGAATTCCTCTCATACACTTCACTGCAGACTGACCAAGTTCATATGACTTCCCTCGGTCATCGTCTATTCGCCTAACAAAACAAAATTTCAAACTGTCAATTTCTTTTTTCTGACATACAACTGTGGATTACATTAAATAACTGACTTTATTATGCCTTTATTTTATGCTGAAATTATATGCAGTAAATATATATTTATGGAAGATATATTGTCTTTTTTTAAAAAATCTGAGTCTACTTCATTCTATGCAGGCACTCTTCTCATTGAAATACCAGGCACAAAACAGCATATAAACTCAAACTAAAGGTCTGTAATTACCACTGCATTCTGCAGACACAGACATTCTGAAGCAGAGAATTTGTTGTTTCTGCTGTAAAGTGTAGCAATGCAAAGGCAATATAAATAAAATTACATTATAATGCAATGTACCTGTAAGAATATAAATTCAATAAAAAAACAGGTAACATAAGACATACAGAAAGCTTTACTATTAATTTTATTTATAACTATAAATTTATTAGTGACTTTAGTATATGTGTGTTCCATCTTCCTTTTGAAATTACAACTAAAAAACTGCATGGATCCATGACCTTGAGTAGCTGACAGTCACTCAGCTAGTCCAGAAACTGCTGTCTTGAAGGAATCCTAAAATTCTTTAATGGGTTCACAAAGCCTGCCATTTTAGTTTATATAACCTATTATTCAGTTTATATTCAACACAGTTATGATTGCATGGTCTTATCTAGATTCTTGTAGATTACATTCTCCTTGTCCTGTTTGTCAAATTGTTCTTCACTAGTCCTGAAAGCAATCATATAGTAAATTTTAAAGGAACAAGTTTAAGGCTCTAATAACAAAAAAGAGTAATAGTGCATGTATAATAAAAAATAGTTCTTACACTCTAGTTTCCTTTCTTCAAACACACACTGGTCTTGGGATATAGTGCATGAAGTGATCTATGCACACTGCTTTATAACAATTTGCAGTTTAACCTTTATCTTACTAGCGTTCCCAGTCCGGGATGTAAGTTGTGTACTCAGCCCTACACACGTTCCCAGTGCGGAACTCAAAACTTGCAACATTGTAAGTAGATTTGGCTACGTCTTTTGGCCTCTTTTAAGGGCTGCAAATATTGAATCACTTTCTCTAGGGTTCTGACAAGTTCAACATGAGCTGTCGACCCGGGAATTATAAACATAAACAGCAATAATCATTGTTATTGTCAAGTGGGTTTCGGCTTCGTTTTCAGACCCCCTATTCAAAGCTACTCACATTCCTCAGCATGATCTGTGAAAAGAATGTGTATCCACTGAAGTAGGGGAAACAAATATTTCTGTGTGGTAAATAGTTCATAACCATGGCTTCTACCATGTCGAATGAGCTTCCAAAGAAGAACGTAAAGTTACTAAGGCCTATTTAGGCAATTAAGATATTAACTGCATTTTTAAAAAACTCTATGTATTCTCTGTTCTATTCGAATAAATATGGCTTTTATTTCGTCAATTTATCATGTTTACTTTAGATAATATTAAAGTTTTCCGTAGAGCGTGCACAAAAGTTTAAAAACCTGCAAAAAACTCCATACGGCTGCTACCACTTTGCCATTTAAATCACCGTCATTTAAAGGTTTAATAAATACATAAATAAATATATTTGCCATTTATGAGATATCACCAGGCATCACAATGGCAGTAAATAATAGAGAAGTATGACATGTCATGTCCTTTCATTTCCAGAATTTTAATTTAATGAAAGCAAGAACAATTTAGTGTTTCCTTCTTGCACGCATTAATTTTCATGTCACTTAAAAGGTTAAAGTGACCTATTGTTTATACACATAAAACCATGATTTCAGAACAGCTTATGTTTACAAAAATGTTGAATAAATACTTACTGTGTTATGTGAAACAATTTTGTGATTTTATAATTTATTTTAAGAACCCAGATAAAGAATATCAAAATACAGTAAAATGCCATTACAACAACATTTATTGGACTTCAATGACTATAAGTCAAAGAAATTCTTTTCAAACTATCTATTACATTTTGAATAGGATTTTTATGAATTACCAAGGCTATAACATAGCAACTTTTTAGCATATTCATAACTGTTATAACTCATCAGACAACTGATATGTCCAAATAAGAATCATAATCATAATTCATCAGTCATTAAACTTTACAATGATAAAGAACTGTTGTCTTCAACCTTTTAGAGAAGTTATTTTAAATGTAATTGTATTTGTATACCTGCAACTTAAAAGACTAGCATGTGATTATGAAGGGCTCCAAAGGTTAATAAAAACATTTCATGTTTTGTACACCTTCCCCATGCTCCTCTTAAGCCAATAAACATGGGCTACGAATATAGAACCAAATGTGCAGCATATGCTGAAAGCACATGCAGAGGACGAGCTTTTATGGTGTGTCATGATACTTCTTAGTTTCCTTGAGTCTGTTATATAATGTGCAATAACTGCATCTGAAAAAACTGTTATATTGAAAAAAAATGTACATTCATATGGAAAAGGTTTATAAAGGGACATGCTGCAGCTCTTTCATAGGAACCAAATCTCCCAATCATATTTTTATTTAGTGTTCTGTCTGACGACAGGTCCATATGAACAGGATCCTTCCATCCTTTTCTCGGCCTGGGACCTGTTCATATACATTCTTGGCAGATGATCCAGAAGTGGTTTGCCATTGCCTTCTTCTGTGTGTGAATGAAGTAATTGTTGGGATGCTACGGAGAAACCGGGGAAGCCCCCGGAGGAAAACTCCGTGTTACCTAGACCACGGCCTTGCCCAACACAAGTTATAAATTCGGGCACCGCCGGGAATCGAACCCGAGACCCCAGGATTACAAGGCCAGCGTTCTAACCGCTAGACCACCGTGGCGGTCACCCAATCATATATCCAGAATTTACCATGCCTGATGCCTACATGCCTGATGCCTATATACTGTGCAGCATACCACATGACAATATTCAAAGGAAGCATGACAACCTTAACCAGCAAAATGAACTGTTCCTCCAGTGTGACTGCTCTCACTTTGTTCATTGCCTGTTTCATTTCATGCTGTAAAAGTGGCATAATGAGGTAATGAAGGGTGTATGGCTAATTTATTCTAAACCATACTATACACTCTCTTCACTCAATCTAATGGCTAACATAAGAGTTTTAATCTGAATGAAGATGTACTGTACCTGTAAGCTTGATACAGGCTCCAGATTGCAGCTGCACAGTACACACTTTCCCGAACACTTGCCACTTCTTTGTCAGTTGACAACACAGGAAACAAACCTGTGATAGAACTCTGGTACCTCAAAAGCTGTCGCTTAACTAGGAAATAAAAAGAGTTTTTCAATATTAATAATTCTGGATTATCTAAGTACCATGGCATAAACCTGCAGAAACCAATGGTAATTTCTTACTACTAAGATATCTTACTTGTGCTATAGATAAATTGCACCAGCATTTTTCTGCAGTTTCACATATGACTTAATGTTGATTTTGTTTTAAAAATATATATAATCTGCATTCCTAACAGACAAAACATTGTGCCAAAACCCTTACATTGCTTGGTTAATTGGCAATAAAAAGACCCATTTCACTTAATCAAGCCAGCACACTGATATGAGTTGTGACACATTGAACAAACAATGGCTGTATGTTTGTTTTGGGTTTCTATGTCAACATTTTGCCCACTAATAAAATTTAAAGCTGTTGGACACCCACCTGGTGACCAATTCCATCCTGTACATGCACCAAGTAGGGACTGTGAAGTTAGGGTTATATGTTAACATGAACACTGTATTATCAGAGTATTTGCCTTATGGGCTAGAGAAAACCATTAAGAACACCTTTAAGTATACTGTAGCTGGTTGCTATGCCAAGAATCAAACACTGGACCTTCAAATATGGGAGTGCTAGCCCTACAACATACATTCACATCACCCACACCACATACAAATATACATACTGGCACATACACTTTTTCTCTGCTTAAAATAAGACTGTCCTTTCACACCATTATAGTGTGACAACAAAACAAATGACAGTGTATGAAAAATGATACATGATGCTTGACAGTAACAATGATGTTAAACTGCAATCTTTTGGAAGAAAAATATTTGTACATTGTTACCTTACTATCTAACTGTTTGGTTCACAAAATATGTTACAAGAAGAATTCAGAGCACAGATTCTTAACCTTTACTGGCTGTGTGTCACAGTTCACACATGGTCAGCTAGCCAATCATCACAATAGCATTTCAGCACACATTTATTATGTAACACAAACCTGTAAACATGAAACGGTTACAGGGCACAGAATGATAATAAGTGATTTACAGAACAAAATTGTGCTACTTTAGGATATAAGTACAGTTCAGAAGATTCTTCCGAAAAACAATTCTGTTGGTTAAACCTTAGATAAGTATGCAGTATGAGTACTAACATGTGGACTGAATATAGTGCATATAAATTTTCATTTACCTACACAACAGAACTGATGCACATGCTATCATCCCTGAAAAAAAGGTTTGTTCCTAAGAACATGTCACATGGTAAGAATCCTTACTAATGAAAGGATTAATTTTATAATAATCCTGTCCTACACAGCAAAGACACTGTTTTGACACTAAGTAACTAACATATAATACAGCTTACCCAGTCCGTAGTAAATGTCAAGTTGTCGCACTGTGTCCTCATAATTTGACAGTTTCAAGTTCATGTCTATCTCAATTTGACACAAGCTGCCATGGCGTAATGTTCTGGAAATTAAGAAAGAACTGTAAAATTAGACATTAAACTTTCTGAGAAATTATTTTAATTCAGAATAACTCTGTACTGAAATGACACACATATAGAAGACGTATTTTTTCTTGAAGATTTTTTCTGTACCTCACGGTACTGTTCAATGTCCACTCCTGCAACAAAGAGTATAATCTCTTATTACTTCAATTACAGGCAAATAAACTAGGAGTTATTCTGAAGCAAACCCAACCATAACAAAAGTAAACAACAGAAAAAAACAATTAAAAACATTGTAAGAATTTTATACTGACAGTGAAAATAAAACTGCTATATGTCTTACTTATGATGTTTGTCAAATAACAGATGAAATGGAGAATGTCCACACATAACAACATTTGATTTGTATATTTATAAATTCAACTACTGGGTCATTTACAGTTATTTTGCCTTCATCTTTCTCAGCAACTTTTAATTTGTTGCTTCCTATTATAATTTTATAATAAAAAGAAAATGCTACCTTGGAACAGCCATTTTGTGTCCTTGAATATATAACAAATGGAACAAAGTAACACAACTTTAATTAGTGATGCAAGGCATTCATTGAGATTTTCTCTACTGGTAAAGCCAGGAAATGACTTCTCTTGGTGACAGCTAATTCCTCTCTAAAGGTTGGCTTTGTTTCTAATCTAAAAATAGAAACATAAAACTCTGTTAATGTCTGTACACAATTCAAAAATAGGCAGGTAAAGCAGGCTGAAAGTGAACTAAAATTAGTACTATATCCCAGAACTACTGATCAGAAGTTAGTAGGATTTATTGTAAGTACTTGACATAAAATGCAACTCCTGAAGAAAAACTAAAAATATGTTGAATATAACAACACTTCATGCTTATATAACTATGGGATAGAGGACAAAATTAATTTGACTTCATTTCCTTAATACATATCTATGATCTCTAACAAACAAAATTGATTATTTAAAAGCTACTAGTTGCTCAGCTGGTCAAACAAATTCAAACATTTTACTTTGAGAGTGCCCAAAGGTTAATATCACATTTTCAAGTCTACAACTAATTCTTAACCTAAGTCAAACAAACCTAGTCTGCACCCTCATATCTCATTTCTTTAAAATCCATTTCAATAGTATCCTCCCTTCTACACTTTGCTTTACCAAAAGGTCACTCATAATATAAATGGATGTGTAAGTTATGCATTTGTTGTTAACAGAAAATGAAAGAGACTACATGAAGATAAATAAAATTATATGCACACATTATCAGCAGTGAATTAAATTTTTTCTCTCTCTCTTGTGGAAAACTTTCAGCTAAAAACTGCCTCATAAGATATGCTGAGTGGTAGAGTACAATGTCATTGGTAAATTATATACTGGCTGAATTCCCACTTTTATAATCATTTATCTACACTTCTAAACAGGAATGTCGACAAATAGTCTGATCTTGAGGAGCATACTCTGACTACACATAGCCCTCACAATCAAAGAAAATAATGAACATCAATTTGAAGATAGCCATCTTCTTGGATGTAGCACCATGTACTCTGCTATATATTGTCTGACATTTCAGAGGAATTAACTGCCTCTGCCATCAGGGTGATCACCCTTTTTTACACACTGGTCATGAATGACTGAAACAATAGAATGAACTGTAGACATGTCCACACATGCATCATCATGTAAAAATATGTACGTCACAGTTGCATCCCTGCTTAATGAAATTTATCTAAGATGTAAATTCAATCTCAATACTTTTCAATCAGATCTCATAATTATCTTCTCACACAATTCAATGTTATGCAACTTTGTAGTTGATACTGCAGCATTAAACAAAAAACAAAAAAGTGTATGTACATCAAAGGCTTGCAGAGCTTGCTGTTACTGCTTTGAAAATTTAATACATGGAAAGATAACATTAAATATTTTGAATACAATTTATAACTGGCATCACCAGTAACCAATACAGTTTAGAACAGAAAATTACTTAAGATATTAAATTCTGTGCTTTCATCACTGCCAGTCGTCCTCCTTATCAATATGGAGGTTCTCCCATAAGCTGCCCACTCGTGCACATAAAACACTAGTTCAAGAATTCTGGAAAGTGATTCTCAGGACTAAACAAACCTGTTCACCTGTGAAAAAAACTTAATAAAACTCAGTAACAAAATGAATTCGTTTGGATGAGGTCTAGCTATTCCTCTTTGAAACCTTCAAAATATGCTAATAACAGAAAGCCATCGGCCACTGGTGATTCTAGTTCTAAAATGATAAAGAACTGCTACTGAGTAACATCATAGAGTTATAAAAAAGTGAAATGAATCCAATTCTAAATAGCAGCCAAGTTCTTAAATATGATATATGTATATGCTGATAAAAAACCAAACTGGCAGCTGAACCCCTACTGAAAGAATGTAGGATGATAAAAAGCACTCTCATTCACTACTTAAAGCAGGCATCTTAAGGTTATGTGTACCATGTGCATGGATTAAATATCAACATTCTGTATTCTTCAGTATTTACAATTTCTTCTCTACTGTTAGTTATCATCATATCATAGATCCTACACTATTCCATCAATAACGTTATTAAGAAATGAATGTTCATCATGGGTACTCACTGCCATGGGCATGGCTGTACCATGACTCCCACATTACACTGAAGATCAGTTTGTCAACTTTTCTTGTGCTGCATTACCCCTCAATTTTTAGGTACCATGTACTCTTCTCCCCCCCCCCTCCGCCACTTATCTCATACATTTTGATTAAAGACAATACAAACTAGAAAATATACATATGTTATAGTTTTTGCGATCTTTTTACTCCAATATGGAAGTAAGAAATTCGATTAAAACTTACAAAGCATCAAAAATTAAAATACCAGCATCTACTCAACTTGCGATCGCCTCAGGCACAACCTGTTGACCCCCAGTTGAGAGAAACTACCGTTGATGACAATTTAACAGATGAAGAACATGAACCATTACGATTATTCAAAATAAAGCTGTCTTAGTGTGCAAGTCTATAATAAAACTGGGAAGCACCGAACACGACTTCTAGTTACAACTACATACTCGTTCTGTCTTTAACACAACAAATTAATTTAAAACTGCGCAAAACGCTAGAAAACATTTCAACGTACTGATCAACCTTTCTTCAATGTCAAACATGCAAGAGATAATATGGCATTAAAACAGCGTATCATAACCAATACAAATTTAAAAATGCATCAAGTCAACACGTATTTACATTCTAACCGACACCCATTTCGAAACTATCATTTACAAAACTTATATCAGCTGTTTTGCGGCTCACAATGTTCCCAATAGCACTTTACCAAATGACCTCATGAATTGAATGCAATGCAAAAACGTAACTGGATCGGTTGTGGCCGGTGGACTTTTTCGTGCTCGTTTTTACAAGTGCAAATACTGCATGCACAGATAATAGATATTACCAGCATAGCTGCATAAATCTGCTCAGAAGAAGAGACGGTGTGTTGCACGGATTTGTGACTCTCTTTTCTTTTTGTTAAATATGATGCATCATTCCCATTTACCTGTTCCAGTCTTCAGGATCAGGATCCATAGAATGTGCCACATGCCCTCTAAAACCTTCATATAATTGTAAAGGAAATTAGGTAAACTTTGGTCAAATCGTGCCAGAAGAAAAATAAGTATGGCTGGTCTCGTTCTATTTAGGGCATGGGTTTGATGTGCGCCGTGCTTTGGACTCCATGTCAAAAACATCTGTATTTCGTCTTACTGCGCAAAATTTTACGTCGCTTTGCTTGATTTCTGAAACGTTGGTAAAATTCACCAGACTACACGGCGCTATACCACAGACAGCCATCATCGGACTCTGCCGTGAAAACCTCAAATCCTGCTCAGAGTATACATAATCAATTCCAAAAGTACTTCATAAAAATATTTGTTTCAGAAATTTTAATGCACAAGTGTGGAAGTAACCAACAATTAGACGTAACAGAAAAGCAAAACTGAAATACTTACAGATGAGGTAGTATTATCTGGAGTTTGAGACTGTTTTTTAAAAGTTAAAAATATACATCACTAGGTACTGATGAAATTTTGGCAGAAATAATCCTTGCTGGAGATAATGCAATAAGTTCTGACATCTACAAACTCACTGACAATAGTGGTTTAAATCATACCTTCATGGACAAGAAACAGCAAGTAGAAAAAAATCAAGAGATTCATACCATAGCACCTACTCAAACTGGGATGTTACAAAACAGGAAGTTCAAGGTTCAGTACTCGGTCCTTTGCTCTTCCTCGTGTATGTCAATAACCTGCTTGCAACCATCAACACACAGTCTAAACCTATACTCTTCACTGATAATGCTTGTATAATTACTTCACATTCAGAAGCTAACTACTTTCAAAATTGCATGAATGGTAACTTTGCTAATTTGAACACATGGTTTAAAGCTAATAAACTCTCATTTTGCACTATATAACAACAAAACATGTATTACTTTGAACATTGTAAGTATTAAAAAAACAACTGAAAAAAGTAGAAACAACTAAATTTCTTGGCATACTGACAGTAACTTAAATTGGAAAACATGTATTTATTATCAATAAACTATGTTCTGGATACAGGGCGTGGTGGCACCACCATGCCCTGGTAAGGGTTAAGGACAGAGGAGGATGTTCTGGATACTTTGCTATGAGAACATTAGCACCAATCATGAATATAGAAACTTTAAATTAGTCTATTTTGTTTACCTCCATTCTATTATACAGAATAATATTCTGGGAAAACTCAACAAACACAAAAAAGTATTTTATGTCAAAAAGAATGCAATTAGAATGGCAGGCATTACAGGGAGAGTCCCTTGTAAGGAATTATTCAAGAAGTTTAATATTCTCCCACTAGCCAGCACATTCTTATTTTCATAATCATTTGTTGTGGACAACATGGAAGAAATTCCAAACAAATTCAGATGTACACAATACAAATACAAGCTGCAGACATAACCTTCATGAGCCAAATGCAAACCTCAGCAAATATAAAAAGGTGTTTACTATGAGGGAATTAACTTACTCAATAACCTTTCTCCCATTATAAAAAGCTTAAATCATGACATAAAAGTATTTAAGCCAGCACTTCTTCTTATTGTAACATTGTATTATATCGGATGTCTGTAAAGAGTTGTTAAAAATATGTATTTAATCTATTTTATTGTGACATTATACATCCTTGGCTTAGATCTATGGAATGGAATGTAAATAAATTCTATTCCATTCTGACACTGTCCTGCATCATAGCTTATGTGGTCCAGGTGGCCTAGTGTTGCAGTACCACATGGCTACACCATTAATCCCAAAGTTAAAGTCTGGCAGGCAGCCTTGTAGTACAGGGGTTTAAATACCCCATTCCCATATGAGGAAGGATAAATATACATGGTAGCTTCAGAAAACTCTGGGGCAAGAGCAAATATAGCAAAATTATCGCTGCAACATACTGCTTGTTTGTGCATTTCGAGTAAAAACACTTGGAATTTTTTTAAAAGTTTGCCAAGCATTGGGAAAATTAAAGCTGCAAATGTTTTTTGGAAAGTGTATGGCAAAACAACAATATCCCAGTCCAAGACATGACTGGCATCACAGATTCAAGGATGGTTAGGATTCAGAATACAACCTCTGCAGCAGACAACATCCACCATCCAGTGGAATAACGGAAATGTGATAGAAGTGCAGGAAGTTGCATTCTCTAATCATAAGACAGCTGAGACATCCAGAGAATGTAATTTTGGTTCTCAGTTGCTGTTCCACCCTCTGAATCTGATGAAACACCAACATTTTTCATTGGCACATGCATCAGCAACTCATGGCATGGAGGCACTGTCCCAAGTTTGCACCATGGGATTTTAACCTTTTCCCCACAGATGAGAGAAGATGAAGAACTGGCTTGTCACCTTGAAAAATGCAGAAGTGGTTCAACTGGCTGCAAGTGTATGAACACTAAATGATAAATACAATATTCTAAAGACCTCTTAATGCTACCGTATAAAGTTCTGTCTCAGAATATTTTAAGGTTATCACACAGAAAAGAGCATCTTGAAATGCCAATCAGTAATACAGTTAAACAAACAATGGATTACAGAATATGTGAAAGAGGAGACATTTGTCATCCAACAAGATGGCTGCAACAGGACGAGTACCAATGAGAAAATAGACCTACTCGGCAACTCCTTAATGTATATGATGATAATTTATGAAAATAAGATGTAACACTACCTCATTCAGGTTCAGGTTTTGATACATAAGTAATCTTTTCTCCCCTACAATCCTGTACAAAAACAATTAATCCTAGCTGCTGGGAAATCTGTCTGATACAAAACTCTTCTTGTGTTGTCAATCCTGTGGGTAGTGGCATCTGACTTTTTTCACCATCATTACGAAACTCTGTCAGGTATGTCCTTGCAGAATCTTCGAAATCTGCTGACACTACACATTTCTGCAGAAAAATACATTAATTATTACTAAAAACACACAAAATCAAGCTCCATGAAGCAGAATCCTTGAGAAACTAATACTGACTCAGCTGGTCAAGAAATTCACCACCTTCACAGAACCCAAAAGATCAATACTATATTCACAAAGGCCTGCCCCTGATTCCCAACCTGAGCCGTATGAATCTAGTCATAACACACTATTTCTGTAACATACATTTTAAAATTATTCCATCTGTACTCTTTAATAGTAGAGCAACGTTCAATTTTCTAATAAACTAATTATCACACAGGAAAAAAATTATGTTTATACAGAAATGTTCTCTCACCTTTGATTTAGGCTCAGTATCTCCTTTTTCTGAAGCACTATTAAACATGCGTTGGGAAAACGTTTTGACACCAACCTCATACATTTTCTGTTTTTTATCCAGCTGCAAATGAAACTTAATATTACAATGGTTAAGGCATGGAGTCTTCAGTACATGTAGACTGAGACTACATCAATGAACAGGAACAAATTATAAAGGTAAAAATTTGCAATAAGGACTTCACTTTGAAGATGGCTTTTAGGCTGTAATGCCATGTAGTCTGACAAAAGTTTACCAACATTTCAGAGGTACTTGCTGCCTCCATCATCAAGGTGAAGGAAGCAGCAAGTACTTCTGAAATGCTGGAAGGCTTCTACCAGACATGGAGTTACAACCCAGATGCCAGCCACCTTCATACTCACAACTGAAAGAACAACAAATACAATTACACTCTGAATTCATAAGTTATTTAACAATGCTGAACCAACTTCAGACATCATTTACAGTATATAATGATATGGCTCTTGCCTGAAACCTCAGTTACAATAGCAACTGGATGAGGACTGCAGTCTAAGCACAAGAAGAGCGAGCAGCTGTGCACTGAATGCACAATGCTCACACACATCACATGCATAACTGAATTTAAGAGCAGTTATGGAATAATAAATTACCAATTAAATCTGGCACAATTAATCTTTACAACCTTTTTAAAACTACTTACATCTGGCACGTTTAAAATGCAGAAGTGGCAAAATCAATTATATGAAATACAAAAATAATGCAAAAAATGCCAGCAGTATGCCTCTGACATATCCACAAATTCAGCCTGCTGGCAGCAGAAGTGGTAACTATGTCAAAAGTAGCAGGAAATATAAATGCTCCAAATTTGAAGATACTATTACACGGAAATCACAGTAACTGTTTTATCCTAATACCTGCAAGGTAATGATGTATGCATGGCACCAAAATATACAACATTCACATATTTTCATTAACACACTCGTCTCCTAGGCCACAAGAATGATGAATAACCTTCAATGAACTGTCTTCATGTGGTATTACACAATTTTGAAAACTCACAATACCACAAACTTTCCTATAAAATACTGCATTCATCCAAATACCACACTCACATTTCTCTTGAAACATTTTGCATAAAAAAACAGATGTATGTCATATCCAAGGATTCAATTTATGTAGCATAAAGCCATATAACACAGCTCCACCATGAATTGGGCAGCAGCTCTGACCAAACAGTGCACTATCAAATCCCTGTTCCTAAGTCATGGGATGCATCTGTGACCTGGAATATAGCTAGTCTCTAAGTAAAGGCAGTTAGATTATGATCTTCTAAATTAACATTTAGGCTGGGCTTGACAACAAAACAGTAAATGTTGTCTCTAAGTAATTACCTATGTCCATGTACCACAATGCAAGCCACTATTATCACTGACATCATTATCAGAATTGATGCTTTGTTGGCTATTTAACAAAATTAATATTTTCCAGTCAATATCAATTGTATTTGCAACCAGAAACATCACTACATTAATTATCTTGCAGCAGTTCACATATTACTTTGTCATTGACATTTTTGCTGGACCGTCGTAATGTTGACTAACAAACACTTGAACCCAATACAGTTTTAAAGCATTAAGTACTTCCACTCAGAACTACAAGAGCTAATAAAGACACCACATTTGTTACACTGCTGAAAATCATCATAGCAAACATGGTGGAGTTGTACATAAGGCATGACACATCATACACACTAAGAGAAAAACAGCATGACACATTGAAATATATCTGGTTAAGATATTTTATGCTTACAAACCTTCTTCAGCTCACTGGAAATTTCAATATTTTCTGGTTCAATCCTCTGAGCAGCTATCAGGCGACACTTAGCTTGATCAAAGTCACTTAACATCAGAAGAGCTCTTCCAAAGCTGCAGAATAAAAAAAAATACCAATCATATTCATTGTAGTGCAGTGCACTGCATTCCAGAATGTTTTTCAGATACTGAAACTATTTTATGACCCTATCAATATCCTAATAAAGATACTTCAATATTGAGTAAACATATGATGAGGCTGGGAAATTTGGTCAAGCCAGGGTGGTGTTCTAGTTTTCTTGTGAGTGCTGGGGCACATCTTTCAAAGACAGTGATATCAAACTGGTGGTATACCTAAAAGGCAAAGAGGGTGTGAACATCTTCCCTTCCTGAACCATAACTTAGCAGTTGGCAGCACATCAAATATCCTACATTCAAGTGAGTGAATCCATAAACTAGCCAATGCAAAGTTTGGCTATACATGCACAGCATACTATCCTTAATCACTTTCACTTAAATCTAATCACTCATCAAAGTCAAGTATTGTTCTGATTTTTTCTAGTACTGTTTTTCCTACAATGTCATTTCCGGTCAAAATATCCTAAAAACAAGGAAATATTTACCCCTCTTCCACTCTATTTGTTCAAACCAAGTGGACTTGATGAAAGATATTATATTTCTATACAGTCAAGAACAGTTTCAGGTGTCAACTTTACACTAACTTATTTCTAAGAACCAAAACATGTAAACATTTTATTTTCAGTTCACATGAAATAAGTGCTTGTTAATACTATAATATGCATAAACTTTTAATCGAACACAATGTAATCTCAAGAAATACACTTTTGTGATCTCTTGGAGTATGTTCCAATGATATTTAATTCCATGTCAGTTTCAAAAGGACTACAAAACTTACTTGAATAAGGCCTTGGCATTTCTTGGCTGGATGTCAAGTGCACTCTTGCACATAACACATGCCCTTCTAGACGCCTTCTGCTTGTTGTAACACACTGCCAAATTGATGTACAACTTAAGCAGCATATGCCGCTGTTGGGCTTCATCTTTTTCATCTTTAAGATTGCATTTCTCAAGGAGTTTGACAGCTTTCCTGTATCTACAATAATGAATTACACTTGCATTTTTGCCACCAATTTTATACAAATTAGCAAGATATCCATGATGGACCTACTCATTATTTAATCAAACACACATCAAGATGCGACCTTACAAGACTCGTTAATAAATTTTTCATGGATTTCCCCAAAGCAAAGAATACTTACTTGTTTATGGCCTGACTGAACTGATCTTTCTTAAACAATTCATTGCCTATTAAGTGTTCTACTTGTGCAGCCTTAAAAATTGTATCAAAGGTTACTATTTCACAATCGTCCAATCTGAGACCTTCAAGAGCTTTAGCTGCAGTATCATCTGTAAAGTTCACTAACTCCACT